TAAAATTAATAAAATTTTTTTTTTAAAAAAAGAAGCTGGGGGTGGAGAGAAGATAAGTGTGAGCTGATCAAGGAAATAAACTGAAAGTACAGGTAAAAAGACAGTTTATTTAAAAAATCACTTTCTAAATTATATTTAGGTAAGTTCATACTAGTGATTCTAATAATTGTATAAATAAACATGATACAATGAATCCAACAGGATTTGCTTATATGTCTACTTCCTCTCAAAAGTCTCTAAGAAATAAAAGGTATGGCAAAGCACACCTGTAATTACAGAACTTGGGAGACTGAGGCCAAAGGTCCCAAGATCCCCAGGAGCTCAAAGACAGCCTGACCTACATCTTGACACCCTGTCTCAAAAAACGAAACAAAACAAAACAAAACAAAATCTCGAGGAACTCAAACATCTTTATAATTAATGTCCTGATTTCTGAATGCTCCACATAACACTGGCCAGCACTAATCTGCCCTTATTACATCAGAGTACTGTGGAAGCCACCCAAGAAGTTTTCCTTCCTGCGAAGACCTTCCTCCTTCATGGATGCCGCAGCTTGCCAGAGTCTTATCATGCCCCCCCAAGTTAGGACGTGAGCTCCCCATTTCTGTGCACGCTCCTATGCCCAAGGAGGTGCCTCAGTTTGACTCAGCAATACCTCAATGTATTCCTAAAGGTTTATTAAATATCTTTCCTAAATACATTGTACTTTTAGAGTTTTATCTACAACAAAATTTTTTTAACCTAAAACTTCCCAACTTTCCTCTCTCCATCTTCTGCTTTTTCTGCCACTCTACAGAGTGTCATGCCCCTGGAGACTCTTTATTTATTTGTGTGTGTGTGTGTGTGTGTGTGTGTGTGTGTGTGTGGCCAGCTCAGCCCACCTGGGGGCGGGGCTGGCTGGCATGTGGTGCTGGGGGATTGAACCGCGGTCCCTGTGCTTGTTCTAAGTAGGTGCTTTAGACCACTGAGCCATCTCACCAGCCCCCCTGGAAACTCTTATATCCATTCTCAGGGTAGTAAAAGAGAATGTCTAGTGTGCTCTGCACTTGTACAGGTCACCAAATGCACACCGATGTTGTCTGACTCTCAGCATAACCCTGTAAGATAGATTGTGTCTTTTTCATTATAAAAGACAAAGAACTCATCTTTTCCTAATAGAGGTCATGGCAATTCACCTAGCTTGGTAAGTGGCAGAGCTGACCTAGGAAGCCAGGCTTTAACTCGAGGGCTCTTGCTTTCTTCTGTCTACTTACATACCGCGAGAGCTGTGTGGCCAGTGTGCATGTTATACCCCAAAGCATTTGGGGAGGCCTCCAGGGAAAGCCTCACCTGTTGGCGACAATCCAGGAAAAGACACATTTCTGGTTGTTGTCAATTGACTTCTCATTGCTCATGAGAAATCGCTGCTGGTGCTCAAAGGCACGGATAACGGGCAATCCTGTTACCGTCTCACCAAAGTGAGAGTAGACCGGGGACCGAGTGACAGAGTCCAGACGTCTCAGCTGGCGGGAAGTTGCCACATAAAAAACCTGAATACCAAAAGTAAAGTGTCAGTCACACAAATATGTCACATATACTCTACCTCTTCATTTAGAGACATGGATTAGAAGGTCACAGCCCACTTCTTCAAGGACAGAAGGGCGCAATGCCACCAGTGGCTAGAAGAATAAGGCGAGAGGCCTAAGGAAGAGAAGCGTAGGAAGACTGGGGCTGGCTGGGAACCCAGCCACAGAGCGCTGAGCTTCTCATCCACACAGGGAGTTTTGTTAGGAGAGTCTGGATTCTCCCTTGAAGTCCGCATACGCAGTCCAGGTGGGAGGGTCTGCGCCGGCTACAGAAACTGTCTTCTAAAGGATTTTGTAAAATTCTCTAGGACCCAGAGGCATGTAAGGTGGGTCTGCATACAATGGTCAGGAACTTTCCCTCAGACGAAGGACTCCTATCTTGAACACACAAAGAATTTTTAAAAAATCAGGCCTCCAAAATTCAAAGGCCCAGTTCAAAAATGGGCATCTGAGATGAACATGTGCTTCACAAATGAAGAAATACAGATGGCAAATAAATATAGGAGAATGTTCAACATCATTGGTCACTCAAGAGAGGCAAATTAAAACAATGCTGAGATTCCCTCTTATGCCAGAAAGAACGGCTAGCATCAAGAAGCCAACCAATAACAAATGCTGGGGAGACTGTGGGGAAAAAGAAACCCTTCTCCACTGTTGGCGGGAGCATAGACCGGTACAACCATTACGGAAATCAGTGTGGAGATTCCTCAAAAAGCTAGGACTGGAGGTCCCATTCAAGCCAGCTATTCCCCTCCTAGGCATTTTTCCAAAAGAACTGAAAACATCATACCACAGTGACTTGTGTGCACCCATGTTTGTGGCAGCACAATTTGTCACAGGTAAATCTTGGGAACAATACAAATGCCCATCAACTGAGGAACGGATAAAAAAGATGTGGTATTTTCACATAATGGAGTACTACTCAGCTATAAAAAAGATACATTTGAGGTTTTTATAGGTAAATGGATACAACTAGAGACTGTATTGCTAAGTGAAATAAATCAGACCTGCTTGTGCAAACATCATACTGTCTCGCTGATGCGAGAGCCTGAAAGAGTAAACACAATCTGAAAGTACACTAGATACTGTGAAAGGGAAAGAATCTGTTCAATGGGAAGGAAAAACTAGGAGGAGGCAAAGGACAAGAGAAAGAAGGGAAAAAGATATATTTCTGTACATATGCAGGATAGTTTGGATAATTGTTCTGCTGGTTTCTGCTGGTCTATTGAAAGGAAGAGTTAATGCTTAAAATTCTTTTTTTCTTTTTAATTTCATTCATATGTATGTATTTTTACCAATTTTGCAGGTTTGTCTCTGGTAACTAAACAACTAATTTGAAGATAATATTATATAATACAATAACCATTGTCAAATTCCTATTATTTTGCTTAATGAAATTTCATATCATTTCTGTTTTTTGTTCATTTGTTTTACTATTTTAGGGGCCGAGGAGATGGCTCAGTGGAATAAGCCCTTCCCTGGCAAGTGCAAGGACCTGAGTTCAATCCCCAGTTCTGCAGCAAAGAAACAAACAAAAAAAAGTTTTACTATTTTGTATTCTTTAAAAAGTTAAGGGCTGGCCAGATAGCTCAGTGGACTAAAGCACTTGCTTAGGCAGAGCGCAGCAGCCGGTGCTCCATCACCCAAGTACCAGCCCCACCCCTGGACAGCGATTAAGACTGGGCGTGGGTGATGCGCGCCTATGCAGGCTGAAAACAGGAGAATCACTACGACTCAGATCTACGTAGTGAGACCCTGCAGACCCTGTACTATATACAGAAAAATAAAATAAAAATTAAAAAAAATTTTTTTTAATTGTCAGAAAAAGGAATGCTGAAGTTTGGGCAAAAAATTAAAGAACAGAGTCCGCTGTAACTATAGCTCTGTCTTGGTGGTATGCGATGGCAAAGATAGGACTTGAAATGGGCAGAATGCTGGAGAAATGAGGAGGAGCTGGATGGAGCAGAAGGCAGCCGGAACTCCTACAGCCTGACCGGCAAGGCACAGTGAGTAGCATGCAGCCCTACCTAGAAGCTTCCTTAAATGATGCTGCCCCTCATCTGTCGACTTGTTGTGAACAGTGAAAAGCCCATCATGGAGATGGTGGTGTGCCCCCAGAACCGCACAGTGGGCGTTGTCTCACCACAGGCCACAGGCCTTATTAACACCCACACCGAGGGCCTTCCAGATTATGTCCCCTAGATAAATAGTCCATCACAGAGGGAACTGATGGGACAAGAGTTCTCCTCAAAGCTTCACTCTTCTCATCAATTCTTAATGTTTGCATGAAGCCTTTTCTACTTTTCCTATGAAGTGTGGCTCCTAAGTTACCTGTTCTCTCCAAGGATATGTTGAAATTGACCCTACACCATCCACAGACACCCCAGTGAAACTAGAATTGCCAGGAGTGAAAAGAGATCTAGTTCCTGTTGAGAAACATCTCCAAGCAGCTATATCTATTCAAAGCCAAAAAGAGGAAGCACTGGTGGCACAATACTTCTCAAACGACCTAACCCTTTTGGAGGTTCTTATGGAGTTGCAAGACTTTGTCCAGAGCCAATCTCAGAGCAGCCTTGAGTTGAAGCATAAACCCACGTTAGGGTGAGATGTGCTGTGAACCTCATATTTACGGATGGTAACAATTTAACGTCAGCAGAACGCAGTAGGCTCTCAGGGCCCATGGATATATGAGTAGGTGGCAAAGATGCTAGAAGGGGTAATTAGCAATAAAGAGAAACCAAGAATGGGCTGGTATGATCAGAGAGAAAAAAGACCTGGCCGGTTTTAAACCTACCTGGATAGCCACGTAAAGAATGCCCAGAGGAATAACAATGACGATAAACACAGGCGTGGCCATGCAGATCATGACAATCGTGCTGATGATCCCCAGGAAGCACATCAGCCAGCTGCGCAAGGTCTGAGGGAGGGTCTCGTCCACAGTGGAGATATCCTAGGCATACCGTGAGGAGACAGAGTAAGCCAATGAGTTAGTAAGATGCTTGACATCCTCCTAGTTCCAGCCAAAAATTGAATTGTGTGTTTCCAATGAATTTCATCTAACCTAAAGATACAAATTTGCAATAGATTGTACTGCTTACCCTAACATCCAGTCTAATTTCTGTAATTTTCTCATTTTTCAAACTCCCTCCAAACAGATACAACAATCATCCTTCATCTTTTGCAATAGATTTAGAAAGTTTTTTCACTATTCTCATTCACCAAATTTATGAAGTCATTCATAATTATTATAAGCTAATAGAGCCATGCTGGTAAATCCCTCCCCCATGATTAGTCTAACATTACACAGTTCCTAACTCTATTGAGTACCTAGAATAGAGCCTGTAACACAACAAACATTTAACAAACACTTGTTTGGAAGCTCCAGTCAACAAGCCTTGTCACCTTCATGAAAGAATATTTCTTCCGCTAAGTAGAGAAATTCAAGGGGAAAGGAAAATAAAAAATAATGTGATTCCTGGCCGGTCAGTTTCTAATCAAGGAACCTTTGCAAGAAGGGTGACAGACAGATGGGTCTCCCTGCCACATTCCCTTCCTCACACATGGAATAAATTAACAAATGGAAAGTTAATGGAGAATAAATGGATTAGAACAGATCCAGGAAGCTTGGCCTGTACCTTGGGTTGCCCTTCCCTAGCTTTCTTGCAGGATCATATCGGTTCTATGACTAGGAACATGCAAGTACTAACATGATATTTGTCATTCAGGACAGCTCTGAATCAAGAATGACTCCTGAGTCTATCTACCTTTCCCAAAGATGCACCAGAATGGAATAGGGAACAATGTCCAGGACTGGGTGAAGGAAGGAGAGAGGAAGGGAGGGAGAAAGGGAGGAAGAGAGGAAAGAGGAGGAGAGGAAGAGAAAGAAGGAAGGAAGGAAGGAAGGAAGGAAGGAAGGAAGGAAGGAAGGAAGGAAGGGAGGGAGGGAGGGAGGGAGGGAGAGAGGGAGGGAGAGAGATCCTCACCAGCTATCAGTTCTATGCAGATCATGTTTGAGCCTGACGTAGCACATATTCTTCATCTTTATTGCCTCCATTTGTTCTCCTTTTCCTTCCTTTTTCCTTCTTTCTGTCTGTGGTACTGGTGACTGAATTCAGGGCCTTGCCTAGCTATATCCCCAACTGTTTATTTGCTTGCTTGCTTTTTGAGACAGGGTCTCCCTTTGTAGCCCAGGCTGGCCTCTAACTCCCAATAATCCTCCCTCCTCAGCCTCCTGAGTGCTGCCTGTATGGGTGTACCCTACCACACCCAACTATCCTCAACTCTTTTTGAGACAGGGCTCCACTGAGTTGCCCAGGCTGGCCTCCAACTCGTGGCTTTCCTGGGCCAGCCTCCCAAGTGGCTGGCATTAGAGGCGGGTATCAGTCATTCCTGTGCTCACTCACCTCTTCAGGATTCAACCACCGAGTGTAGACGACCCCAGATCAAACTCACCTTTATAAGTCTGAATCAATCACCTCCTCCAAAAATGTGCATATGAATAAAAATAGTCTCCTTAGTCATGCAAAAGCACTCAGCAAAACTGTAGCCTAACTGGCTCATGAAAAGACCTCTAGGTTCTTTTTTTCATAAGATTAATCAAATATAATGACATAGGAAAAACAATCTTTGTGCAATTTCAGTGGGAAATAGCTCTGTCCAAAAGCATATTCCCTTTTAGGTTCTATTAAAAGGCAAAGAGCCAATTTAAGTGGTCTCCCATGATAATATGCCGACTATTACAGCCCCAAAGGTAGGTGACAAATGGGAACCGGTTACCTGCTCACTTTTTAAGTGGTTTTATCTCCACATCCTGGCAGTGGGCTGTGAGCTCCCCTGTATGTGTCTGCATATGTGTGTGGACAACACACAAAAAGAGTCCAGGCTACTTACTCAGACACACACACACACACACACACACACACACACACACTCATATATTCTCCACAAGCAGAGTACTAGAAACTGTGCTGATCAAACTTGAATATCATTCAGAATTGCCTAGTCTCTGCTTCTGTTGCTGAAACTTCCATCTCAGATCCATTTTTCAAAAATGAATCAGGTCTAGCCCCTAGAAGAGAGCCATCAATATGTCTGGACTTAACGTTTATTGAGGGCCCAGTGTCTAGGGTAATATTTGGCTTATAAGATGTACTCAGTGTTTTTCTGCAGGGGCCGGGGGTTCGATCCCTGGGCCTGCTGCACTGGCCCTGCCCCCCGAGGTATGCAGACAGCAATTGAGACTGGGCATGGTGGCGCGCGACTGTGACTGTAATCACAGCTCTTGGGAGGCTGGAAATAGGTGGATCACTATGAGTCTGATCTAGTAGTGAGACCCTGAACACCCTGTAGACCCTTCCCTAAAAAATTTTAAAAAGTATTTTTGGATGAATAGATAAATTTCAGTGGCTAGGGGCTGGAGAGATGGCTCAGTGGTCTAAAGCACCTACTTAGAACAAGCTTAGCAAAAGCATCAGGGAC